TATCTAAACCCAAAAATAAATATGTAATTTATTGCAGATTATGAATTCTTAGATGTGGCGATTGCATTAGTTTTCTTGTTTTGTGTATTTTTCCTTTATTTCACTTGCTGGTCTGTTACTTTTCAACTTCCTTTAACAGACACAGCTGTCCAGCAAAAGTAGCACTTAAAAGGTTGAGACAAACCATTTAATACTGACGGGGTACTTACAACAGCCAGCTTTTTATTTATTTAGTTAAAAACTTTCATGTGAAAAGGAAAAAACAGATGCAAAACTGCTTAAAATGTGTTAGCTAGAGTTTGGCTTTAATTTGGTAGTTACTTATGTGAAGTCCAGCTAACTCTACTAGTTCATCTAACACTACCTACTCCAGATAATGATGTTGTTCAAGGGTGTCTTGTTGCTCCCCATAGATAGAGAAGAAACCCTAAAACACAAAACAAATGCAACCATAACATCTAAGGATTGGCCAGCTGTAATATACTGTATTACATTTTTGTTTTGGGGTTCAGATATGTTTTGAAGTATACATATAAATACATTGTTTTAACAGCAAATTATTACAAAATTTTTTAAGCAATTCATGTTTTTTAATACCAAAGCTATTTCTAGACTTTACTCTCTTTACTATAATCACACTATTATTGTAAATAATTTCAAGAAAAAATGAATCCCATATTTGATTGGAATCCTTCCATATAGTAAATATCTAAACCTAAAAACAAAAAAAAATAAATGAACATGTATGCATAATACCAAAAACAATGACCTTACTTCATATTCCAATCATAGGCCCATTGCTCTTTAATTTAGAGTCAAATTATTTGGAAAATTATAGCACACAGGTAGAACGCAGCTATTGCTTCCCTCACTGGCAAATGCCAAGTGGGCTTTATACCATGTAGAAAAGGGAAGGATAACATCCTATTCATCTTGCAAAATTAGGGAAACCAGCAGTCTGTCTATTATCCCCAGATATCAAAAAGCTTTTCATATGGTATCTTGGCCATATGTGATACAATTATTACAAAAATGGGGATTTAACCAACTGTTTTGGCAAAAAAAAGCATCTCTGTACCACCACCATTGGGCTTTTGTACAATATAATAACTATCGTTCCCCCTTTTTCTTGATCTTTAGAGGTGCAAGACAGGACTGCCTCCTTACCCCGCTGTTATATCATCGAGATGAGTGCTGAGTATGAGCACACAAGCTTGTATTGATCTCTGGTAAGTGAGATCAAAATTTTTGGTAAAAGGCTGATCATTTATTTGGTGGAGGAATCACATTTGCTCATCACCTTTCAAGATTTAATTGAATCTCGGAGAATATTTGTTGGACTGAGCACTTTTTCACTTTTCATATGCCTGGTTTCACTTTTCATATGGCGGATTGCACTTATTTATTATAAAGTTGTGGTTTGTTAGCTTTTTTTGTATTAAGAGGGTTCACAAGTGTACATTGTATTGCTATAAATGTAGAGATGCGTACCAAGTGTATGTTTAGTTTAAGAAATTTTATAGGCCACAGTTTCACTGGAAGAGGTTGCAGGTTTTAAACTTAGTACTAGTGGTGCATATTTTAAAATTAGAAGAAACACATAATCTAGCCTGCAGAAAACACTTTAAGTTTTACAACTGAGAAAAAACTAAAGAGCCCCAGAATACACCATACACTTTATGGTGCAATGCAAGATTGGTCCAGCAAAAAGAAGCAGCTTCGGAAACATTATGTATAGTACCTAAATAGTGCATAAGAATAGGATATGGCTGGGTGTCAGGCCAGTAGCAGTAGAAACATCTGATAATAGTAGCTGGATGTGGTAATGGTGGCAGTAGATGGTAATGGTGGCAGTAGATGGTAATGGTGGCAGGTCAGCAGCAGTGGTAGGGGATGGTAATGCTGCAATAATGCTTTTGTGGCCATATGAAAAGATAAAATAGGAGTGTAAGCATCAACTGCAGGTGTTTGACACTCATTGCCAATCCAGGACTGGTTACTCTTTATAAAGGTGAGCTGGTCAATTATATCTATGAACAGTGGGTAGATAAATGCAGTGCTAATTATACAATGGTCTTATAACACTTTAAATGCAATAAAGTCCATATAGATTTCCAAATTAATGGAAGCACGTGCATAAGAGGAAAGATTAAATCCAAAAGCCGTCACCATTCACCCAAACAAATTATGCCTCTTACAAATAGTTTGACCACACAAAAGGTTGGTCAACATGAGCAGTATGGTATATCCTCAAATGGATCATCAATAGAAATCCCCTCCAGAATAATAAGTAACTTCTCCAACTTCAATAAACCTCCAAATGGCAGAATCTCCCATCAGACTGTAAAGGAATGCATAGAGAAGAAAGGCAACTCATAGTGTAGTATTTAAAATAATAATCAACCAATATAATTAGGTTCCACGTACATGAATGAATAAAACAACCAGCATGATAAAAACAGGATGTTTCTAACTGACAATATGGCCGCCGTCCCTCCAGAGCGTGATGTTGTCACACGGCGAGGCTCCAACCTACGCAATTCATCATCAAAAAGACATCGTCAGAGTGGCCAGCACAACACATCGCTGCATAAAAATAGAGCTCGGAGGGACACTCAGCCTAATCAAGATGCGCTCTGACAACTGGAAGGCATACTCAAAACAGGAAGTGAAGGGCAAACGGACCTCAAAGGGACCCTCCCATTCCTTGGAATGCACTCCAAAGGCAGGAAGCAAACATCAATCAGAATATCACTAAAGTAAGATGCATTCCTTTACCATCTGATGGGAGATTCTGCCATTTGGAGGTTTATTGAAGTTGGAGAAGTTACTTATTATTCTGGGGGGGATATCTAGTGATGATTTATCTGCATTTATCTATCCATATCATAGTATTGCCTTCAAATGTGCAAGCTGGTTTTATTTATTCTTGTTGTTTAAATTCTGAGAGCAAGTGTTCGTTTATATATATCTATGGACAGGCAGATTCTTTTTTCTGCCAAAAAAAAACTTCTGCTGCACTAAGCACTCATTCTAAAAGCCTACTGGCTGCATGGAAACTCACCAGCTGGACTGTATACTGGGCTATCTTGGGCCAATGGTCCATGCTTCACACCCAAACGTCATGAGGGCCATTCATTCTAAGGGTGTTTATGTCCACTGTTGACCCAATTTAATCATTATATGGTTTAGGCACTGCCTGTGACTACTTCCAGCAGCCAGGGCTGGGCAATGTGTATTAAGGAAAGACATTAAAGACTTGATTAAGCAGCCACCAGATGATGACATTTTTACTCCCTCTTTGATGGAAGAATGAGCTCTGGCATTTCCCCCTTGTGGATTTAAAATAATCCTTGATAGTCCAAATGCTTGGGTCCTTGCACAGGAACTGCTGCATTCATGAGCCCCTCATCCACAAACTTCTAGTGGCAGAAGTACATCAGTGGGACAGTGTCCTCATCTCTCTCACCCCACCTAAAGACCAGAGTATTGAGCCGCTTCAAGTGAGCTTTCAGGATGATACCTGCTGCAGGCATATCACGAGAGTGCTAGCACAGCATCTACTGTATATATACAAGATAAGAAGTGGATCCGGAATTTTCTGCACTTCCTCAAATCCTCTATTAAAAAAATCACAAACACTGTGGGAACAATGACACGTTTCGCGCTATGAAAAGTGCTTACTCATAGCATCCACTGTGGAGGCTGACTCTGGATCCATTTCTTATCTCTCACCCCACCCATGTACATCTCCCAGAGTTTGGGAAAGGTGAAACATACCCCTTCCCTGGAGGCCTGCCCTATTTCCTTTTTCTGTTCTTCCTGTACCTAGTGTTTTCTCAGAGGAATGGAGTCAGGACAAAGTGGGCCCTAGAACAGCAGGAGGTCCTACTTTGCCTCCTGCTGCTATGACTTCAGTTCTTGGGCTATTACATCATTCATTGTTTGCTCCAATAGAGGGATTGTGTTGCTGATCCCTTAGCTTGTCACAGATCACCATTCTGGTTGCCTCTGCAAATGATGACACGACTGTACAAATGTCCTGAATGAGGAGATACTGCCACTGTAAAAAAAAACAAGATCCCCAGTGAGCTGGTAAGTGAGGAGTGAGAGAAAGGAGGAGTGCAGGTCTTTTGCTTCTGACCAACTTGCACTAAGCATTGTGGTGAACAGTCATTTGCCTCTTCATTCATGTGGTACATGAATGACTCATAGATATACCATGCTTGATCCACTGCAGGCAGAGGCTACAAACCACTATGGTGGTGTCTGCAGCAGACATGTGAAAAGGTCTAGACTGCTGATCTTTGCTCCAGAGTCCAGGGTGGACATAGGATACCAGTGGCCTGCCCCCACAGAGGTGCCTTCTGGTGGAAAAGGGTGGCTGCTCCCTCCATTCCTCTGTTACCGGTAGTTTCTCCTGGAAAACATCCTGCCTTTTCTCATGTTGTGCCTTGCTCTCACTTTCCTCTTCTACAGTCTCTAGCACCCATGTGAGGTCTGTCACCTAATCATCCCTTACCCTCTCCATCACTCAAGCCCACTAGGCAGTACATTGCAGTTGTATGAACATCACTGGCAATTGCTTTTGCCTGCATGTTGTTCCTCCCTCTAGGATCCTGACATATTCTTCCTCAACATCTGATAAAATTAATCCCTGCACATCCTCCTGCAGAAAGTTACTGATGGTGTGCTCAAATAATACAACCAGCCTTCAATACCCATTTTTGATGGTGGGGTTAGCTGTAGATAAGGAGGAAGAAGAGGGTGCATTTGCAGTTGCTGATGACTAGAGATGAGCGAAGTATTCAAAAATTCGATTCGACTGATTCGGCGAATTCGTGGACAATATTCGATTCGAGTCGAATATATTCGCTGTGAATTTAACTTAAAAAAGGGTGTTTCTAGGCTTCAGAGAGACTTAATATTAGTGCAGAACACTGTACCTTTAATTTAAATGCCCTTGAAGTCTGCTGGGGAAGAGAAATAATACTGTCAGTCAGTATGACATGCAGATGAGTGCCGTCGATCTTAGAATCACCGCACACTTCACTCATTTGGCCAGTCACGGGGCCAAAACCAGTGTTTGGAGCCACAGTGTGGCGGTGGAGGCAGCAGCAATGGGAGGCCATACAGCAACCTATGACAAAATGGAAACCAGCAGGAGTGTGAGGAGACCTCAAAGTGGCACATGGCAGAGTGGGAGCAATGGGAGGCGGTACAGTGACCCATGTCACACTGTGGACCCAGCAGCAGCGTGACCAGGCGGTACGGGGGCCCATGGCAGATTTGGGGCCTGGCAGCACCTATGGGAGGCCTGTAATCTGCCAGCAACCTATGACAAAATGGAAAACAGCAGGAGTGTGAGGAGACCTCAAAGTGGCACATGGCAGAGTGGGAGCAATGGGAGGCGGTATAGGGACCCATGTCACACTGTGGACCCAGCAGCAGCGTGACCAGGCGGTACAGGGGCCATGGCAGATTACAGGCCTGGCAGCAGCAATGGGAGGCCCGTAATCTGTCAGCAGCCTATGACAAAAAATGGAACACACCAGCAGTGTGTGAGGAGACCTGAAAGTGGCACATGGCAGAGTGTGGCGATGGAGACAGCAGCAATGGGAGGCCGTACAGGGACCCATGAGAGACTCTGGACCTGGCAGCAGCATGAGGAGGCGGTATAGGGGCCCATGGCAGATTAGGGGCCTGGCAGCAGCTATAGGAGGCCCGTAATCTGCCAGCACCCTATGACAAAAAATTCAACACACCAGCAGTGTGTGAGGAGACCTGAAAGTGGCACATGGCAGAGTGTGGCGATGGAGACAGCAGCAATGGGAGGCCGTACAGGGACCCATGAGAGACTCTGGACCTGGCAGCAGCATGAGGAGGCGGTATAGGGGCCCATGGCAGATTAGGGGCCTGGCAGCAGCTATGGGAGGCCCGTAATCTGCCAGCACCCTATGTCAAAAAATTCAACACACCAGCAGTGTGTGAGGAGACATGAAAGTGGCACATGGCAGAGTGTGGCGATGGAGACAGCAGCAATGGGAGGCCGTACAGGGACCCATGACAGACTCTGGACCTGGCAGCAGCATGAGGAGGCGGTATATAGGGGCCTATGGCAGATTAGGGGCCTGGCAGCAGCTATAGGAGGCCCGTAATCTGCCAGCACCCTATGTCAAAAAATTCAACACACCAGCAGTGTGTGGGAGACCTGAAAGTGGCACATGGCAGAGTGTGGCGATGGAGACAGCAGCAATGGGGGCCGTACAGGGACCCATGACAGACTCTGGACTTGGCAGCAGCATGAGGAGGCGGTATATAGGGGCCCATGGCAGATTAGGGGCCTGGCAGCAGCTATGGGAGGCCCGTAATCTGCCAGCACCCTATGTCAAAAAATTCAACACACCAGCAGTGTGAGGAGACCTGAAAGTGGCACATGGCATGAGAGACTGTGGACCTGGCAGCAGCATGAGGAGGCGGTATAGGGGCCCATGGCAGATTAGGGGCCTGGCAGCAGCTATGGGAGGCCCGTAATCTGCCAGCACCCTATGTCAAAAAATTCAACACACCAGCAGTGTGTGAGGAGACCTGAAAGTGGCACATGGCAGAGTGTGGCGATGGAGACAGCAGCAATGGGAGGCCGTACAGGGACCCATGACAGACTCTGGACCTGGCAGCAGCATGAGGAGGCGGTACAGGGGCCCATGGCAGATTAAGGCCTGGCAGCAGCAATGGGATGCCCGTAATCTGCCAGCACCCTATGACAAAATGGAACCCTGGGCTGGGGCAGGCAGAACCGCCGTATCTTTATCACGGTTTTCCCAGGCCACCGAATGGCGACGCTGCATATGCTGACGCAACGCTGTAGTCCCAACATGGGCCCCCTGGCCACGCTTGACTTTCTGGCCACATAGTCGACATACGGCTACGTTTACTTCCTCGGGCGGCTTGACGAAAAATTGCCACACCGCCGAGTAGGAAACTTTGCCCCCGCTACTCCTCACTGGCTGACTGCTACTTCCTCCGTGCACACCGGCACCACTACTGGCCGTGGTGGTAGGCTGCAGTGGAGCTGGTGCTCTACTCCGTGGCCGTTTGCCTCCACTGACACTGCTGCGACCCTGCTGCCTCCTGGCAGCAGCAATGGGAGGCCGTACAGGGACCCATGACACACTCTGGACCTGGCAGCAGCATGAAGAGGCGGTACAGGGGCCCATGGCAGATTACGGGCCTGGCAGCAGCAATGGGAGGCCCGTAATCTGCCAGCACCCTATGATAAAAAATGGAACACACCAGCAGTGTGAGGAGACCTGAAAGTGGCACATAGCAGAGTGTGGCGATGGAGACAGCAGCAATGGGAGGCCGTACAGGGACCCATGAGAGACTCTGGACCTGGCAGCAGCATGCATGAGGAGGCGGTATATAGGGGGCCCATGGCAGATTACGGGCCTGGCAGCAGCAATGGGAGGCCCGTAATCTGCCAGCACCCTATGTCAAAAAATTCAACACACCAGCAGTGTGTGAGGAGACCTGAAAGTGGCACATGGCAGAGTGTGGCGATGGAGACAGCAGCAATGGGAGGCCGTACAGGGACCCATGAGAGACTCTGGACCTGGCAGCAGCATGAGGAGGCGGTATATAGGGGCCTATGGCAGATTAGGGGCCTGGCAGCAGCTATAGGAGGCCCGTAATCTGCCAGCACCCTATGTCAAAAAATTCAACACACCAGCAGTGTGAGGAGACCTGAAAGTGGCACATGGCAGAGTGTGGCGATGGAGACAGCAGCAATGGGAGGCCGTACAGGGACCCATGACAGACTCTGGACTTGGCAGCAGCATGAGGAGGCGGTATATAGGGGCCCATGGCAGATTAGGGGCCTGGCAGCAGCTATGGGAGGCCCGTAATCTGCCAGCACCCTATGTCAAAAAATTCAACACACCAGCAGTGTGTGAGGAGACCTGAAAGTGGCACATGGCAGAGTGTGGCGATGGAGACAGCAGCAATGGGAGGCCGTACAGGGACCCATGAGAGACTCTGGACCTGGCAGCAGCATGAGGAGGCGGTATATAGGGGCCTATGGCAGATTAGGGGCCTGGCAGCTATATAGGAGGCCCGTAATCTGCCAGCACCCTATGTCAAAAAAATTCAACACACCAGCAGTGTGAGGAGACCTGAAAGTGGCACATGTTTGGGGCATGATTCATGGCGGATTTAGTCAGTTGTGTCAGGAACTGGTGGTTTGAAATCCAGACTAATCCACGCCTGATTCATTTTCATAAACGTGAGTCTCTCCACACTTTGGGGGGCAGCAGTCGTGTCCTCCGCGGAGTTACAATACCTCCTGCCACTAAACACGCGCCTCCGATGCCACGCTACTGGCCGGGCATGACAGCCTTTCAAGGCAAATTCACTAGTTGGGGCCAAAGGTCAAGTTTCACCAGCCCAGTAGTCAAGGGGATTGTCTACGATGGAGACAGGCAGGGTGCTGTCCAAGTAGGCCCAAGCCTGTTGTTTGAGCTCAGCAGCATGAGGCTGCTGGCGGCTGGTTATAGGGGCCCATGGCAGATTAGGGTGGCAAGCAAAGCTACTCATCATCGACTGCAGACTGAGGCAGCCGCTGCTGGTGGAGCACCACTGCTGTCAAAAAATTCAACCCCAGCCCTCCCCTGCTGCCATGGCAGCGGAACGCGAGCGCACAGGGCCCATGAGGAGTGTCTGAGGATGGACATTGGCGCAGAAAGGCAGAGACCAAATCTGACTACATAGGTGGTTTTTAGTACGTTATTTTGGCCTCCCTCTCAGCAGGTGTGAAAAAGGCCACCATTTTTGAACGGTAGCGAGGGGCCAACAAGGTGGACAGCCAAAGTCATCCCTCTGTCTGATGGTTATTATTCGGCTGTCGCTACACAAGCAACCGAGCATGCTATGGGCCATTTGTGCCAAGGAATGCGAGGGACTCCCTGCCTCCATCTCCACACAGCATACTGCCACGGTGCGTGGCGATGGAGACTCTGTCTCCTCCTCCTCCCCTACAGGGCTCCTGCTCCTCCACTCCTGTCCGCTGAGCAGGAAAAAGGCGGTATATTTCACATGGCAGATTATTCCTGGCAGCAAATGTCCTCCTCTACCCGTCCTCCTCTTCCTGTCCCTGCCCCCAAAGGGGTCATGTGGCGTGAGATCTGTGCGCCACGTCTACCGCACCCTGGAGACCAGCATTGTTAACAGCATTTGTTCCAGGACGTGCAACAGAGGAATGACGTTCATCCCATAGTCCTGCCGACTCACGAATAGCGTGGCCTCCTCAAAGGGCCTGAGCAAGCGGCAGGTGTCACGCATGAGCTGCCAATGGCTGACATCGAAGTTACACAGGGGAGTAACTTTATCCGCTTTTAACATCAGCAAATCGGTGATGGCCTTTCGCTGTTCGTAAAGGCGGCCTAACATGGCAGGGTTGAGGTTGCAACGTCGCAGATCAGCGATGCTGTGGAGGCCCGTAATGCCGCTGCAGCTCAAGGACCCTGTGCTTTGCGGTGTAGGAATGGCTGAAATGCATGCAAAGTTTACGTGACATTTTAAGGATGTCTTGCAGGGATGGTGCCGTACAGGGACCCCATAGGAACCGCTTGACAACCAGATTGAACACGGAGCCATGCATGGCCATGGCACAACCTTACTTGACGCAGAGCAGACACCCGTAATTGTCGGTCCAGCATGGTTCCGAAAGTTTGCACGGAGACAGCCATCTGAGGAGATTTCTCTGTTCATGGCACTGAGAAAGTTCCTCCCCAGTGTGAGGCCGTACAGGGACCCATGAGAGACTCTGGACTACTGGACATGCAGCAGCATGAGGAGGCGGTATAGGGGCCCATGGCAGATTAGGGGCCTGGCAGCAGCTATGGGAGGCCCGTAATCTGCCAGCACCCTATGTCAAAAAATTCAACACACCAGCAGTGTGTGAGGAGACCTGAAAGTGGCACATGGCAGAGTGTGGCGATGGAGACAGCAGCAATGGGAGGCCGTACAGGGACCCATGACAGACTCTGGACCTGGCAGCAGCATGAGGAGGCGGTATATAGGGGCCCATGGCAGATTAGGGGCCTGGCAGCAGCTATGGGAGGCCCGTAATCTGCCAGCACCCTATGTCAAAAAATTCAACACACCAGCAGTGTGTGAGGAGACCTGAAAGTGGCACATGGCAGAGTGTGGCGATGGAGACAGCAGCAATGGGAGGCCGTACAGGGACCCATGACAGACTCTGGACTTGGCAGCAGCATGAGGAGGCGGTATATAGGGGCCCATGGCAGATTAGGGGCCTGGCAGCAGCTATGGGAGGCCCGTAATCTGCCAGCACCCTATGTCAAAAAATTCAACACACCAGCAGTGTGAGGAGACCTGAAAGTGGCACATGGCAGAGTGTGGCATGGAGACAGCAGCAATGGGAGGCTGGGACCCATGGACTCTGGACTGGGCAGCAGCATGAGGAGGCGGTATAGGGGCCCATGGCAGATTAGGGGCCTGGCAGCAGCTATGGGAGGCCCGTAATCTGCCAGCACCCTATGTCAAAAAATTCAACACACCAGCAGTGTGTGAGGAGACCTGAAAGTGGCACATGGCAGAGTGTGGCGATGGAGACAGCAGCAATGGGAGGCCGTACAGGGACCCATGACAGACTCTGGACCTGGCAGCAGCATGAGGAGGCGGTATATAGGGGCCCATGGCAGATTAGGGGCCTGGCAGCAGCTATGGGAGGCCCGTAATCTGCCAGCACCCTATGTCAAAAAATTCAACACACCAGCAGTGTGTGAGGAGACCTGAAAGTGGCACATGGCAGAGTGTGGCGATGGAGACAGCAGCAATGGGAGGCCGTACAGGGACCCATGAGAGACTCTGGACTTGGCAGCAGCATGAGGAGGCGGTATATAGGGGCCCCCATGGCAGATTAGGGGCCTGGCAGCAGCTATGGGAGGCCCGTAATCTGCCAGCACCCTATGTCAAAAAATTCAACACACCAGCAGTGTGTGAGGAGACCTGAAAGTGGCACATGGCAGAGTGTGGCGATGGAGACAGCAGCAATGGGAGGCCGTACAGGGACCCATGACAGACTCTGGACCTGGCAGCAGCATGAGGAGGCGGTATATAGGGGCCCATGGCAGATTAGGGGCCTGGCAGCAGCTATGGGAGGCCCGTAATCTCTGCCAGCACCCTATGTCAAAAAATTCAACACAACAGCAGTGTGTGAGGAGACCTGAAAGTGGCACATGGCAGAGTGTGGCGATGGAGACAGCAGCAATGGGAGGCCGTACAGGGACCCATGAGAGACTCTGGACTGGCAGCAGCATGAGGAGGCGGTATAGGGGCCCATGGCAGATTAGGGGCCTGGCAGCAGCTATGGGAGGCCCGTAATCTGCCAGCACCCTATGTCAAAAAATTCAACACACCAGCAGTGTGTGAGGAGACCTGAAAGTGGCACATGGCAGAGTGTGGCGATGGAGACAGCAGCAATGGGAGGCCGTACAGGGACCCATGACAGACTCTGGACCTGGCAGCAGCATGAGGAGGCGGTATATAGGGGCCCATGGCAGATTAGGGGCCTGGCAGCAGCTATGGGAGGCCCGTAATCTGCCAGCACCCTATGTCAAAAAATTCAACACACCAGCAGTGTGTGAGGAGACCTGAAAGTGGCACATGGCAGAGTGTGGCGATGGAGACAGCAGCAATGGGAGGCCGTACAGGGACCCATGACAGACTCTGGACTGGCAGCAGCATGAGGAGGCGGTATATAGGGGCCCATGGCAGATTAGGGGCCTGGCAGCAGCTATGGGAGGCCCGTAATCTGCCAGCACCCTATGTCAAAAAATTCAACACACCAGCAGTGTGTGAGGAGACCTGAAAGTGGCACATGGCAGAGTGTGGCGATGGAGACAGCAGCAATGGGAGGCCGTACAGGGACCCATGACAGACTCTGGACCTGGCAGCAGCATGAGGAGGCGGTATATAGGGGCCCATGGCAGATTAGGGGCCTGGCAGCAGCTATGGGAGGCCCGTAATCTGCCAGCACCCTATGTCAAAAAATTCAACACACCAGCAGTGTGTGAGGAGACCTGAAAGTGGCACATGGCATGAGAGACTGTGGACCTGGCAGCAGCTCTGAGGCAGCGCATGAGGAGGCGGTATAGGGGCCCATGGCAGATTAGGGGCCTGGCAGCAGCTATGGGAGGCCCGTAATCTGCCAGCACCCCCTATGTCAAAAAATTCAACACACCAGCAGTGTGTGAGGAGACCTGAAAGTGGCACATGGCAGAGTGTGGCGATGGAGACAACCC